AACCCTTTCAATTGGCCCATCACCGCCCACCCCAACCTCTTTTTTTTTTTTTTACAAAAGATATGATCAACGAATAGGCAGTTACACCCAGGAAATCAGCCAGGCCTGAAAATCATAAAAGCGACTCATTGTCGGGTACAAAGAGAGGGCTTTCCTAGCTACCAAATGAGCGACCCTATTGTTCTCCCGACCTACAAAAAGCACACTAAAACTAGGCTGAGCACGCAAATAATGGTCAATCTCTTCCAGAACAGCACCCAACCAGTTATCTCTTATGTCGGCTTGATTAATTTTGTCAATAATCACCTTTGCATCGCCTTCAAAACGGACCTCCGCCAGACCCAGCTCCCTACACCAAATAATCGCTTCCTTGAGCACGAGCAATTCCACCACCATAGGATCAACCATATGAGAAAACTGAACCCCTCTAGCTAGAAGGAGAGCCCGTGCTGGGTCCAGAAGAACCATCCCACCAGCCGAATGCGACCCACCCTTCGTAGCTCCGTCCCACATGCACACAAGTTGGGAGTCACCCACTTGCGCTGGCGGCTGCAATACCGGGTTCAGCACTCGAGGACCATGATCCGCAGGAAGCCCCACCCATTCCTCATATTGTTGATTAAACTGGCGCATGAGAGCCGGAATCCCAAATTGTTTGCCTTCAAAGACTACCCAATTCCGGGACCGCCAGATCCTCCAAAGGATGGCAACAACAGCCATAATCATTGACGGTTGATGAATCAGTGCCAACAAGCGATTAAGAAACAAAGGAAAAGTGTGCCGAGGCAAGCCCTCCCCCAAGTAATCCAGCCCGGAATAATCCTAGAGAGCCTGTGCCACTGGACATGAAAGGAACAAATGCTCCATCGTCTCTGGGCCATCCCAACAGACTGGGCACCGAGGCAGCACCTGGACCTTTTTCTCAATAAGCGCCTCAGTAGTCGGAAGAGCCCGATTTATAATTTGCCAAACAAAAACTTTCAACTTCGGAGGAATCTTCGCCTCCCAAACTCTAATCCAACTCGGCTTGTCCATCCAGCTAACCGAGGACCGCCACCTACCCCTCCTCCTGTCCAAATCTACAGCCAGATGATAAGCCGACTTCACCGAGAAAACCCCATCTGCTGCAAAATGCCAGATAAGTTTGTCAGGCACATCCCATCTCGGGAGAGGAATGCCTTTAATAGCTCTACAGGTAGGCGGGTCAAACCATTGACTAAGCTTCTCATCTGACCACGTCCCTCCCCCCTCACAAATAACCTCCATCACCAAGGGATCACCCCCCTCAGGCAAGACCCTCGGGTTATAGCATGGGGGATCTAATTGGTACCTAGGGAACCAGTTAGAATGAAGGAGGGAGACTGATTGGTCATTCCCAACCTGCCAACGCAAACCCATCTCCAATAAATGACGCCCATGAAGGATACTCTGTCACCCCCAAGAGGGACGAGATCTAGCCTTGGCAGTCAAGAAAGACCCCTGAGGGAAATACTTGCCTTTATAAACCTGGGCTAGAAGAGATTGAGGTTCATTGAGAATACGCCAGCCTATCTTCGCCAAAAGGGCTTGATTGAAATGTTCAAACTGACGAAATCCCATCCCCCCTCATGCTTACTTCTGCACATGTTTCGCTAGGACACCCATCTAATCTTGGGATGACCATCCTCAACACCCCACCAAAAGCGGGCCACGTGTTTATCCAAAAGACGACAAAGAGCTAGAGGGAGACGGAAACAGGACATAACATGAAGAGGAAGAGCCAAAGCTATGGATTTAATCAAAGCCACCCCAACCTTTTTCATTCTCCCTTGTTTTGAGCTTTTTCATTCTCCCTCGTTAGGGCCCACAATGCATACGCATTTTCTCTGGGGACGATTTTCATAGGGCCCAAACTCTGTTAATTATTATATGGGGACGAATATAGCATGGATGTCCCTTATTTAACTTAAATTATGATTCCGGTGACAAATAAAAACGATCGTCCCTTATACTGGTCCCTATAAATCATTATTTTTTAGTGTTTTGCAGAAGCAGCTTCTGGCTGGAGCAGGAAATTTAAAATGGGAGAAGGTTTTTTCCTACCTACTATTATATTATGTGTAGATTTTACCAACACCGAGAAATAAAAGGGTTTAAAGAAAAAAAATTGACACTCCTGGGCTCGTTTAAATCTGCATGTGTACGGTAAATTGGCCCGTTCCACAGAGGAAAGGGAAAAAAATAGAAACAAGTGTTATTAAGACCGAACCGAGCCGGCCGACAGGACCGCTAAAACCTCCACCCGACAGCAAAACCGGCTCAGATCAGTCATTTACCCGGAATGACTTTATTGAGCGGTTGGCAAGCGGCCGAGACGGTTAACCGCTCGAGTCGGCCGAGTCGGTCACTCGGTTTTCCCTCTTCCGGCCGTCTGGTATTAGAAAAAATTAAAACAAAAAAAAAATGTTGGGAAAGAGAAGGCGGTGGATGAAAGGACTAGTCTGGTCGAGGTCGCCGACGAAGGGTTGGCCGTGAATAGAATGACAAAAGTGGGTTTGTTTGGAGAGTTCTGATTCGTTTCGTGAAATAGAGAGGGAGAGAGAGAGGGAGGAAGGGTAAGAGGGAAAGCATCAACACTGGTCGGATCGAGGTCGCCGACGGAGGGTTGGTCGCGAATAGAATGGCGGAATTGGGTTTCTTTTGGGGAGGTTTGATTCATTTCGAGAGAGAGAGAGAGAGAGAGAGAGAGAGAGAGAGAGAGAGAGAGAGAGAGAGAGAGAGAGAGAGAGAGAGAGAGAGAGAGAGAGAGAGAGAGAGAGAGAGGTGAAGAGAAGGGGGGTTGGGGGAGAAGGAAAGCGGCGCTGCCGCTTGGGGTTGGTTAGGGTTTAGGTTTAATTTTTAGTTATATATATAAGCTTAGTTTTGCCCAGCTGTAACTTTTGCAGAAGCAGCTTCTGGCTGGAGCTTTTAGATAAGTACTTTAAAAAAAAAAACAGTTGAGTGTTTGGGTGTAAAATTATTAGAAGTGCTTTTTAATATGAGAGATTGTGTAAAATGACTATAAAGGACTTATAATATAAAATAAAAATAAAAATTCTAAACAATAAAAAGTAGTCAAAATGGATCTTGTTAGATTTATTTTATATTAAATAATATGATTTTATAATTTATTTTATTTTTAAAATGATATGAATAAAGGAAAATTATATTTTCTGAAATAAAATTAAAATATGGTAAGGATAATCTTGTATTTTCAAAACAGCTTTTCGCAGAAGCTCCAAATCGGAGCTTCTGCTTTTATGTTATACCAAAACGCTTTTCGGCTTTTCAAAAGCCGAGCTTTTACAGGTGTTTGGCCTTGCTTCAGCTTTTGAACCCGAAAAGCACTTCTAAAAGCCGGGCCAAACATAGGGATAGTGTGTTAACTTACTAAAGTGATACCTGTGAAATAAATATTATTTTTGTCATTAAATTATTAAATTACTACTTTATATGTCTTTTAGTTATGATATTATTGTTTATATGGTAGCGGTTCTCTAACGATTTTTTAACGCCCCAATACCGGTTGGGCCACTAAAGTGTGAGCCGTTCATGTTACCGGGTCATGCTCCGGTTCGGTTTTGACAACATTGCTACAAACGCTCCTGGAGCAGGGAATTTGAAATGAGGGAAAGATTTTTTCATCCATGCTATTATATGTTTTTAATTTAAAAATATACAACAAATGTACTTAATGTGATTGGTTATGATTTTTGCTTTTCTTTAAAGTGGCAATGGTTTGAATCCCAGTACGTGTCTTTTTAATGAATAAATAAAAAACATAATTGTGAGGAACAAAATGTCCTTCCTACTTTCACTATCGTTGTAGAAAATTTGAAATGAAGCAACAATTTTTCCCTTCATGCTATTATATATTGTGTAGATTGTGTTTAGACATATGTCATTGCCCTAGAAATTCATTAACATGTCAAAAAATGGTGAAATGAACCAATAATGAAAGCTTAGCAGTTAACTCGGCTAAAACGTTAAAAAAACCAGTCCCATATATTCTGCATAAGGATATGATTTCTTCATAGTTAATTCTAAAAATTAATACTAATTTAAAATTTTGAAATTGCTTTGACCTATTTAATACTCTAATTTATATGGAATATTCAACCAAGTGATATATGGGTTGCAATTTTAAAGTTATCCTCTGTTTGTAATATACATTGAAATATAAATTAAGTATTAAAATACAATTAAATTAATAAAAAATATGAAATTCGAAGTAATGAGTTTTGGCTTTCACCTTTAATAATATGTGCTGACCAGTCTCTTTTTCCCTTGGTAATTTACCCGTCTACTTTTGTTGATTAATTAAATGAAATTTAATCTAATATGCTTTGGGCCCTCGTTGCCCATTAAGCCGCGGTCAGAATCGGATCGGTGGTTGAACCGAAAAAATTAGTGAATTAGGATTCAAAACCGTTAGTTAATCGTTGATAAACCATTATCAACATGTAACATATAAGGCTTGTATATTAAACAAATTTAAGAATGAAGTTATCATTGACCATAAACAATTTCAAATTCATATCTTCACCGAAATATCTAATAAATCATTCAAACCGTATGCCAAAGGAAATCATAATTTTTCAATTGAAATTAAAAATTACGGTGCTAATCGATAGTGGACCAGGTAAAGTCGACAACAAGGTTGGAAATTGAGAAGAGGAAGCTGATATAAATTAATAATTATTGTTTGATGGTCTTAGTTTATGTACATTTTTTTTATAAAAATATTTGTGTTTAAAATAGTGAACTAGTGGACCAGTTAACCCGTGGTGATCCATCTAGTTTTATGTTGAACCGTGAAAAATATTTGGTCCATCAATAACCATTCAAACATGAATCGGATCACTATCGAAGCTGATTTGACGATATTGACCCAATCGTTGATCCGGTTCGGTTCTTAGGCTATCAACCCTATATATTCTATTCATTTAAGCGGGTTTTTGCACTCTCTATTTCTGCCGCCATTCTTCACGAGCCGTCGAAAGAAACGAATCGTCCAGAAAAAGCTACATGCAACACTAAACCCTACTCGCCGTCGTCACCGCTGCCGAGCCGGTTTCTTCCTCCCCTTTGCGTTATCGGCGATGGCTGAACTGGCCATTCCGGCCCCCGGGCACGGCTGCGCTCCAGCTTCCTTCAAGACCGTCTTCATCGACACCAACCTCGACACTCGCTTGGCCGTGACGATCTCTTCCTCCGTCACCGTCGCCGATCTTAAGAGTAATCCCTCGCTCCCTCGCTCGTCTTTTTTCCACATAACCCCCAATGTCCATTGCAAAGATATGAACTCTGTGAACTTTAACTGTTTTTGTGATGGTCCGTCTGCGGTAATTGCAGAAAAGATCATGGATGAGCATCCGCTGTGTTTCCCTAAGCTTGGAGAAATAAAAGTCGATGGATTGAAGGTATGGTTTTTCTTTCTCTATACTATTTTCCGCTTATTCTCTGATTGATTGCCTGTGAAATGACCTCTCCCGTTTGTGGGAATGGAATTGGGCAGGTTGAAAGGAGGGGGTTTTACTATCACTTGGCAGAGTCAATGCTTGTGACAAATGCCTTTGATGGGCTTAAGGAAGATTGGTTTGTTAGTATTGAAGCTTCTACGGTATCCATGGATAAGGAGGTTGAGCCTGAAATAGCTAACTTAGCCTTAATGAGAATGAACAATGGTTTGGAGGAGGAAGGTGTTAATGTTGTTCTGGATAGGCATCACAATGTTATGTTCGAAAGGGATTTGTTGGTTTCTCAGAAGGAGAGCAATGACCTTTGTGTCGAAGTTGCTCGGGGAGCTCAACTTGTTGGTGGTGATGATTGTGGTGACCAAGTTTTGTCAATGGTGCCGTTGGTTAGTGATGAAGTTGTTAGAGAAGAGAAATGTGATGAAGAAAAAACTCAGGATATGGATGTTGAAAATACAGCAACTGGGAAAGATTTGAGTAAGATTGACGCAAGCAGTGTATTGCGAGAAGGAACTTCTGATGTGAAGGAAAAGCGTAAGAACAGAAAGAGAAGGAAAAAGGTTGTAGATGATCTTTCTGGTAAAAATGTTGATGTGTCCATGCACAAGCTGGTAACAAAGGGAGGAGAGGAAGGGATTAAACTATCCAAGACTACTGCGTCGCAGGAAAGAAGTGAAGTGGACATTGGTGATATGCAGATCATTGTTTCAGAAAAGGGTTCGTTAGTTTGTCAAAAGGAGAGCACTGACCTTCTTGTTGAAGTTGCCCGGGGAGCTCGTGGTGATGATTGTGGTGACCAATTTTTGTCTATGGTGCCATTGGCTACTGATGAATTTGTTAGAGACAAGAAATGTGACGAAGAAGATACTCAGGAGATGAATGCAGAAAGAACAACAATTGGGAAAGATTTCATTAAGATTGACACAAGCAGTGTATTGCCAGAAGGAGCTTCTGATAGGAAGGAAAAACGCAAGAAGAGAAAGAGAAGTAAAAAGCGTGTAGATGATCTTGCTGGTAAAGATGTTGATGTGTCAATCCACAAGTTGGGAACAAAGGGAGGAGAGGAAGAGATTAAACTATCCAAGACTACTGGTTCGCAGGAAAGAAGTGATGTGGTTATTAGAGATATGCAGATCATTGTTTCAGAAAAGGGTCCGTTGGTTTCTCTAAAGGAGAGCACTGACCTTGTTGTTGAAGTTGCCCGGGGAGCTCAACATGTGGGTGATGATGATTGTGGTGACAAAGTTTTGTCGATGGTGCCGTTGGTTAGTGATGAATTTGTTAGAGAAGATAACTGTGATGAAGAAAAAGCTGCGGAGATGGATGGCGAAAGAACAGAAATTGGGAAAGAGTTGAGTAAGATTGATGCAAGCAGTGTATTGCCAGAAGGAGCTTCTGATGTGAATGGAAAACGTAAGAAGAGAAAGAGAAGTAAAAAGGGCGCGGATGATCTTTATGGTAAAAATATTGATGTGTCAATGCACAAGTTGGGAGCAAAGGGGGGAGATGGGGATATTAAACTACCTGAGACTACTGCTTTGCAGGAAAGAATTGAAGTGGACATTGGTGATATGCAGATAACTGTTTCAGAATCTAATGCAATGACCTGTGAGCCTCCTCTATCTCAGCTACCTACAATAGATGAACAACTTGCGACTGCTACTCTGGAAGGCCCAAATGCTGACTGTGTGGATGCAGGTCAATTGGCAAGCCAAAGCTTGGCGAAGAAGAAACGAAAAATCAAGTCTTTTAAGAAAGTAGATACAGAAAATGTTGGAAGAACTCCTGGTGAAGCAAATGCTGGTGAAGAGGTACCTCTGAAGGAAGCTGGAATTAAAAGTGGTACTGTTGCTGAAGAGGCGCCTCCTTCAGATACACAAATGACGCAGCCTTCTGGTGTTTCTTTGACGGAGAAGGAACCTGATCATCTCCAAGAGCAACAGAAGAATCTTCCTTTACAAGGTATCTCCATTTTCGAATTGAACTTTGGTAAGTGATGCTTGCTTCTACATTTGCTCGAAAGATATCTGATATTCAAACTGGTTTGCTGCAGGTATCAATGAGTTTCAGGAACCAACAACTAATGACATGAATAGAGTTGAAACAGAACAAGAGGTGCCCAAGACGGTTTCTACAAAAGTGCACAAAGAAGTTGTTGATTCTGTATCACACGAGGTTGATCCGTATGTTGATGATGGGAAAACATCGAAGAAAAGAAAGAAATCCAGGAAACATAAGGTACTCAAGGGTGGAACAGTATTAATTGCTTCAGATGCTGATCATGTTAGAGATTGTTATGATGTACCCGAGAAAGTAGGTAAGGCTGAGAACTCTATTCTTGAAGCTGCTGAAAAGGGAGATGTGAAAGAAGTGGCAGCAGCTGATAGTCCAACGGCTTCTCTTTTGGTTACAGATAAGGAAAGCGATGAGTTTATTAAAAATGTGGTAGAATCTGCACAGGAGACCACAAAGACTGAAACTGTTGCAGAAAACAGAGAAGGGAAACTGAGAAAGAAAACAAAGAAGAAGCATGGTTCAGATATTAAGAACACTGTACTACCGACACAAACAGAAGACAAGTGCCCTGATGAAAGTATTCCAGCTCCTACCATGGCCAACATTTGTGGCACAGATTCTTCTACATTCCCTTATGATACTAATCTGCAAAATCCTAGTCTCAAAGACTCATTAGATAGAGCAGAGATCATGTCTCCTCCAGAGGAAGTTGGCGGCAATGTGGAAAATGCTAGCGAGGTTGATGGAGTCGACATCAGCTCTTATTTCATTCCTAGAGAACAGAATAATAAGACTGCTGATCCTAGTGAGGTTACCGGAGATCGGGCTGAAATGAAAAGTGAAAAGAGAGGGGAAGTGCAAGAGGCAAACCTGCATGACATCTCTCCCAAGTTAGGGTATCCAACTTTTAAGGAGAAACTTGAATCCCATTCAAAGCCTCAGGAAAAGAAAGCAGTACCTGGTATAGTAGATGAGCAAAAACCTCATTGTGAAGAGGCTCAAGAATCAAATGCTATGACTCGTCCAATTGGTGGCAAGCCAAACAAGTGCTTAGAGGAACATCATTCGGAGAGTTTGACAAACTCGAGTTCCCACTCCAAAAGTGACAAGAGGGATCAATCTCAAAGCCAGCAAACCGATGTGAATGGTGGGGAAGGCTATAATGCTCATCCAGGCGAAGTTGTGAATGGCAGGCTTCATCAGAAGCAGGTTGTTGTGTCAAGATCACTATTCCAGCAGACTCCATTTGGTGATGAATCAGATGATAGCTTGGAGTCCTATCATTTTCCATCTCCACCCCACCATTCACGTGCCAGCCCCCCGGATTCCAATCTCTCCGTATCTCCTGTCCACTCGGATGGTGAAACTGATGCAGGTTAGTTATTGTAGTGTTTGTTTCAGCATTTGCTAAAGAAATAAGCGACTTTTCGTTATTTTCATTATGTTTTAGTAGAAGCACAGAAAAATATGTGACTTGAATAGAAGCTAAGCGGGTATTGTTCTTGAACCAGGGTTCGACAGCATGAACAGAAATGGCAGTAGTGGTCGAGAAGGCATGAAGACGCCGTTGTAAGTACACGTACTCTTTTGATGGGCTTATGTGAAGTGGCCTACATTTAGCCATGTTAATTTAATGAGATTATGGTATGCTCGCCTGAATGTGTAGCTACTCAGGGGTTCCACTGGACACAATCCTGAAATGTTCAAAGAGATACAGGAAGGCCAAGCTGGATGCTGAATCACAGCCTGAAGATTTTGTCCCCTGTAGTCCGAGCACATAAAATGGTCAAATCGTGAAATCCATTGTCGCCACAGGACGCATATTCTTTTGTTGATCGCAGCAAGTCTGTTAGAAACCCACTTTTGGATTATTTTGGTATTTGGACTTGTTTTTTCGTTTTATTGACATCGGATGTTATTTGGTGGATTTTGGCATATTCGGGTTTATTTGGTTGTTTATGTTAGGACTTGGGAGGTATTAGTTTGGTCATCTCTTTCTCTTCTCTTTTGTGCAGTCGAATCCTCTTTCCCTTTCCTTCGATGCTCTGTTGGCCACCCATGACTGGCTGATCTTTTTAAACACCCTTTCCTCCTCAATTCCCCATTCTCAGTTCTTAACCAATCTCTAATCGCCAATTCTTACAGCGATATTAGAACTTGGTTGGCGTCTGGTTTAACAAAAGAAGTGTTCGCAAATGGAGCGGTTGCAGGATATCATGATTGTGGAGGACATTACACGCGATGAGAATTTTTGGGAGCTGTTGAAGACAATGGCGAATCATTTTATTGGCCTCCATATTCGTATGAGAGGTATGAGAGAGGTGAACATGAGAGAGGTGAACGAAACTTTGCAGGAGACAACTAGAAGGAACAATGACGACTTGAGATCGCTAATGAAGATGATGAAGCTGGCATTGGCATCGTAGGGACTGCTTGTGATGCCGGAGAAGACGACCGAGGTCGCGTCGGAGGGTGATTTGGTACGACTAGGCCAGTGGAAGGGTATGGGAGGCGCTTCTAATGCTGTGTATCATCCTCTGGCAACATCAATGCCTAACTGGCGCCGCTCGGGCATGCTGTGAACATTGGGGCAAGGATCGGGAGCCAAAAATGGAGGTTCGAGTGATGAGGACGATGGTTGGGGCTTTGATGGCGAGCCCATGATGAGGTCGGATCGAGGCGACATAGAGGAAGATCATCATGGCGGTTACGACATTGGCAGGTATGGCGGTTATAACTCTATGTATGAGAGTGAGGGTGAACGAGTTTTTAGAGCTAAGCCCATGACCATTTGATATGATCCTAAATTATTCCTTAAACTCAGATCAATTGCGTGTTAAAGAATCAACCCATGTTGGAAGGAAAAAAGAGTCGAATTTGGCCAAGTGTTCGATCAGTTTCATGGTGCTTGCTTTGCAAGTTTATATCTTACATATTGGTTGATGGAAATGCAAGGGGAAGGTTGGGATTTGAAGTTCAAGTGTTTTTCTACATGATTGAAGTTCTGATTGAGCACGAACAAGCCGTTGAAGACACTTCCTAGATGTCTCAAGTTGCTATGTTGAAACTACAAATCTACTTGATTTTGGCCAAGTCTAGAACCAGTTTGAGATTACCTTATTTGGAAGCTTATTCAAAGCAAATGGAGTACCGTCAATGGGAGAGGCGAGTTGGAACTTGAAGTTCGGGACCTGGGAAAGAAACAACTAAAGCTTGTTTGGCTCGAATTTCTCTGGAAGGCATCGATCGAGAGCCTCAAAGTGGCTATGGAGGCTGGATTTGATTGCTTGCGCAGGAAGGCAGAAGGTTAAGTCTGAAGCAACCGAGATTTGTTCCCTTTTTGAGCTTGGATTTCTGTTTCCTGGTTAGAGTAGAGTTAGATTTGATTTACTTGTGTAGAAGTCGATTTAGGGTTGTTCTTTGTCTATTTAAAGGCTTGTAAGCCTCGTGTAGGAGGCAAATTATGATTGAATGAAATTGTGACCTTGTCACTTGAAACCTTGCGTTGTTGGAAGAGTCGCTCATCGTGTTTTCTTTGTATCGATTGAAAACTACATCAATCATGACCAAGTTTCTACCAAAACCAATTGAGCCTCTTCCCAAGTGAGAAGTTGCACCTTTGGTCCGTTTTCATTTTAAGTTTGTTCAAAGACTAAACCAATTCGTTGGGTTGAATCGAGCTGCATACTTTGATCCAAACAAGCACAAATTATGATTGTATTACAATTGAGTTCCCAAAATTCAAAGGTCACGAGGATGACAGGTTATGGATTTATGTTGCAGACAGGTGGTTCAAAAACTATTCTAAAGAGAGGAGAGGAGCGTCTTTCTATTTAGAGGGAGATGCCTTCTAGTGGTGGGAGTGGATGGAGCATTCCTATGCGGAGGCGGAGATGCTGATCACTAGGACTCGCTTTCAGGAGAAGCTGCAGTACCTGTTCGGGAAGTCAGAGGATGGGTGTCGGAACACCTTGCTAAGCTAAGATAGTCCGGTACTGTGGCAAGGTTCTGACCAGAGTTCCTGAGGCTGGGAAACATGTGCAAGCGTATGATGGAGGAGACTCTGGTTGGTTTATGCCTTGTAGGTTTGAGGCTGGAGTTAGCTACAGTTGTGAAGATGTTCAAGCTCAGTTCCTTGCGGTTGGCTTTTAGATTGGCATTGCACAAGGAGGAGGAGCTAGCAAGCTGGAAGGGAAGTAGGGTGCGATTCGAAAAGGCAGCCGGCAGAAATACTGGATCAGGCGGGACGGGTGGAATGGCGGCGACGCCCCTGAAAGGGGCGGGACTGCCAGTGGCAGCAGTAGCAACTCCACCAGGTGAATAATAGGGGCTCAGGCTGCCACGTTGAGGGTTCATGGGGCTCACACTACCAGATATGGAGTAGAAACATAGGGATGATCGTTGCTTCAACTGCAACGCGAGGTACACTGTCGGACACTAGTGTGTCGAGGGTCAATTGATTTTGCTCGTGGAAACTTGGAGGATGAGGCGGTGGAGCTCGCATTAGAGTAAGGCAAGGAAAATTATGGAGCGCCGGTCCAACCTTGAGAGTAAGGTTGGTTTTGAGAGGGATGGATTATTAGACACCAACTTTTTGGATGATTTTGGAATTTTGTGTTGTTTTTCGTTTTATTTATGTTTTGGGTGTGACTTCGAAAATTATTGGGATAATAGCATTTACTGCCCTTGTACTATTGCAAAGTAACAAACGTGTCCCTGTACTATTTTTTTCGCACAAATATGCCCTTAATATTACAACGTAACGAAAATACCCTTCCGTTAGAAACTCTGTTTTCTTACCGTTATCTTGTGTCTGAAATGACCCAACTAACCCTGATTAATAACAAAATGCCATATATACCATTCCTCCCCATTCGAATTGTTCCACTGTCAAAGAAAACCCACCTGATTCATCCACTTTAAAAGAAAACCCACCCCGTCTCCTATTTCATCCTGTCGAGGAAGACGCAACCGGCGGCGGGAGCATACCCGAATCCCTCTCCTTCCGGTGGCTGCGGGAGCATCCCGGAAACAATATTCAATCGTACTTACCAGAGTTTCAGTATGAGAACAGGGCAAGGGACTTCCTGATCTAGATCCTGCGCGAGTATCGCGTTACTAAATTTATGATCAGTGGCGGATCCAGGGTGGCCACCCTGGGCCACGGCCCAGCCCTCCTCTGGATCCGGAGCTAGTATAGTCCTTATTAGTTTAACGATTTTAGTCATTCGGTTCAGTATTAATTTATAATAAAATTGTATGCAAATAGGAAAACGGGTCCGATAAACATATTCAAATCACAATTCTAAATTTAGCCTGAAAATTCTAGCTCCAATAATCTCGTCTAAAGAAAAACAAACAATGAAATCTAATATTCTAAAAGTCTAAAACGTAAAAGACTAAAACAAATATGAGACTTGTTCCCTTGAAAAATTACTCAAGTAGCAGTGGAAATAGGGATTGACACACAATACAAATTGATTAGTCGATTGATTTGTCTAGTGTTGACATTGCCCGTTTCAACAACTATTATGCAGAGCTTTTTCAACAATAATACATGTGAAAAATTATTTGCGTAACAAAATGAGCGATAAATTTCTCGTCGATTGGTTAACTATTGTATCTGAAAGAGAGTATGTTATTGGTATGGATGTAGATTCCATTATTTTTGAATTCACTACATTAAAATTTAAAAGATAGAGGTGTACAATTGATATTGTAAAAAAAACTTTGTTTTTTATTTACAGTATCTAATTGTCTAATGAAATGCGGCCCAGTACTCTACCATGTCCTGGATCCGCCGTTGTTTATGATTCAGGAAATATTTATCCGACAAGGCAAGTAGTGTTATGGTTTATAATGCTTTTGCATTGGGCTGATTTTGAATGTCCTGACTTTAATCTTTGCCATTGGGGAGGCACGAGAATATGAAAGTAAAGAACAAGTGCCCACTATCCAGAAGGCAGAGGAACTGAAGAAGCTGTTTAAACCGGGGAAAGCGTTTGTGTTTAGCGCCATTCTGGAGCTTGAACAAGGAGCTGCTGAAACTGATGAAAGCTAGAAACAAAGATCCTCTAGTTCTTTTTTGTATGAATGACATTATCATTTGATTCTATTGACCCAATTCATAGTTCCAAATACCCACATTATTCATCCACACATTTGGCAACAACGACGCAGTTATGCAATCTGGTATAATTCACTATGTACAAACAAAATGCAAAAAGAAAAATTACAACAAAGGAAGAACAAGCTTATCAAAAGAAATGATTTGCAAACCTTGCTTCCGGCGCTGCTACTACTAGGCTTGTTTTTCATCCAGTCTTTAAGCAACCTAGCGTCTAGCGATATTGTCGGCGCTAGACGCGTATGTCGAGGAGGCAGGGGCAGTACCGCCGCCACCGTGGTTGAGATATACGGAGGAGGAGGGAGATATGGCGTGGGAAAGGGGACGGCGGCCGGCAGTGTGGATGTCGGATTGAAGCCTTCTCTCCCATTGGCCTCTGGAGGGTTTCGAAGATTTCCTAAAAGATGAGATTGACGAATTAGCCGAGGAGGAAGGAGAAGGATTTCAGGATACTCCCGCTGGTTCAGGGATGCTCCCGCCGCCGGCTGTGTCTTCATCGAGGAAGAATGAAATAGTAGAGGAGGTGGGTTATCACGTGGGTTTTCTTGGACAATCGAATGGGGGTGGCATTTTGTTATTAATCAAGGGTAGTTGAGTCATTTCAGATTCTAGTTAACAGTGAGAAAACAGAATTTCTAACCGAATGGTATTTTGGTTACGTTGTAATATTATAAGTGTATGTTTGTGCGAAAAAATAGTATAGGGGCACGTTTGTTACTTTGCAATAGTACAGGGGCAGAAAATGCTATTATCTCAAAATTATTTGGTGGTTTGTGGTATATTTGGGTAATTGGGTTACTTGGTTTTCTTTTTATGAGGTAATAGTTGGGTAGTTAGTGAGAATTATTTATGTCATATATTCTGTAATTAGTGGGTAGTTTCTCAT